TTTTAGAGAATCACACACCATTCCTATCACAAAATGCATTTTTTCATTGATGGGCAACTTTCATGTCACCTGCACTATAGAATGTTGATTTGATTCTAGTTCCCAGTGGTGACAGCAAATTTTGTCGCTTTTGAAGATGCCTTTCATATACATTATTTACATTATTCAGACTATTGTCCTCATCTTTGTCGCCATATTTATTACAACGTTTCATCCGTTCTATGCTCTGGCCTTCTTCAGGTGGTTGGAATGTCGAATTGAACCCTTTATTTCCTGAGCTGACCAAGTATAGAAATGAATACAATATAGGAACCAGTAATAAGGAGTGCCAGAGAAAAGCAATAATAACAACAAAAATTGCAATATGAGCACTGGTAAAAAAGAGTTGCTGAAGACATTAGGTTTATAATACCCAGAAATTCATAACGGATGTCCTCAAGGCACAGTGGATAAAGGCTAAAACTTAAATATTAAAACCTTATATGATGGGCAACACTCTAGCATAAGTCATTTCTGGTGATTCTGATATCAAATGTGTGCTTATGTATATATGTATCTGTCTATATTTCTGAAATGAGGTATCATGTACACTATTTACATTATTCGGACTATTGTCCTCATCTTTGTCGCCATATTTATTACAATGTTTCGGCCCTTCAGTATCTGTTTATATTTCTGAGATAAGGTATCATGTACACTGTTTACATTATTCGGACTATTGTCCTCATCCTTGTTGCCATATTTATTACAACGTTTTGGCCTTTCAGTATCTGTCTATATTTCTGAGATGAGGTATTATGTACACTATTTACATTATTCAGACTATTGTCCTCATCCTGGTTGCCATATTTATTACAACGTTTCAGCCCTTCAGTATCTGTCTATATTTTATTTGTATATTATATGTAAATAGTGTAAAAATTGTTTGTTTTTTTGTTGTTGTTTTTTTTGGGTTCTTTCTCTCTCAACACCTCAAAATGTTCTTGTTTATTTTTTACTGCTTTGTTTACAAAGTAGTTTTGTAATTTTATATTGCTAAAAGTTTTGCTGATTGGGTCCAGTTAAGATAAGTAAAACAGCATTTGGTCATGGAGATTGTGATTGTGCATATAAAAACTAGTGTCCATTGCATTTTATCACACATTAACATATCATGTACATTTTAGTTTCTGAAAACCTGAATATTCTCCTAAAAGGGCTAAAACTCTTTAAATATTAAAAACTTATATGATGGGCAACACTCTAACATAAGGCATTTCTGGTGATTCTGGTGAGGTTGATATCAAATGTGTCCTTATGTATACATGACATTTTTTAATGTGTGTGTGAAATGAAAGCCTCTCTTTTGGATACAGTTCTTTTCCTAATTCTATTTCCTGTTCTCATGTTAAAGAATGATAATGATGTCAATGATTCTGGTGGCAGGAAAATACCTGAGTAACCATTATAGTTTTGGTCGCTTTATTGGGAAAGATTTGCTGTAGATGCACAAGAGTTCAACTCTTGTGTGAGTCAATTTCTTCTCCATACTGAATACAAATTGATCAGCTAAAAAACAAAACTTGGAAAAAAAGAAAGAAAAAAATATTAAAATATTTCTAATGGATTCCATTAATATTTCAATGTTTATTGCCATCATTTTATGAACATGTGACAGGAATGAAGTTTCTCTTTTTTAAGATGTAACTTTCAAAAAAAGTATCACTGAAAGTGTCATAAAACAGAAAATGTTTGGGCATTTATTTTTAATGGCCAAATGTATATTATAACTATGGAATAATTTGATGTTTATCAAAACCGTTATGTATGTTCATTTTTTGAAAGTTATTTTCTCCATGCACAATAGAGTATCATTAATGATCAAAGGCTCCCAAGTTATTAAAATTTTCATTAATAATGACGACCATAGTTGTTGACTATTGGAACCAGGATTGTGGTTCAAGATTCGTTTCATTTGGTGTCTCTTCTAATTTATAACTACGATTAAACCATAATGGTATAAAGATTGTGTAACTTCAGTTGTATGTAGAGTTCTTTCAGTTTCATTTTCTCTTCAAATATAGCCTTTAGAACTTAGACTGGTACAAAAGACTGTAATGACGTATTACTCCCCTCTTCTGATAGATGGAACCACCATAGCCTCTTGTTTTCTTCATTGCAATGCTCATTCATCAATTGAAAACATGGTACAATTAATGTGCAAAGAATATTCTCACCAAAATCTTTATATTTCTTAGAATTTCTCAATATTCATTTTTGAAACTTCAAGTTATCCTTAAATAGTTTCATTTGTTTCTTTATAATTTCAATAAAACTTTTGCTTTATTTTGGAACTAATAATGAAATCCTAAGAAACTTAACCTCAGAAGTTGAAATGATTCAAATATTGCAAATTCTGATTTTTATTCAGTTTTGCCACTATTTTTAATTAATGGGCTAATGTGACATAATTTGAAGATCATTTCTGAAATGAATAGTCTATTTTGCCAGCAAAAATATAAAGGGTTTTAGAACTAAGATATATAGATAGATAGAGAGAGAGAGAGTCTGATTTGCTACCTCTTCGTCACCAAGGCCCATTGGAACAGTTGGTATGACGTTTGCCTGATAACGTAACTGTCTTGGTTTCAATTCTCAGTAGTGGATGCACACTGCTGATGAAGTCCCAAATATAGAACGAAACGCCCATCCAGTGCTTTCTGTATTCTGATGAGGTTTCTTCTAGACTCACTGAATTACTTAATAATATATATATATAAATAAATACGCTAAAAAATCCACTTTCATCCCTACCTTTGGGCCGACGGCTTAATGGTTAGAATCTCCGACTGACACCAATTCAGTCGGGTTTCGATCCTAGCTAGAGGCAACCAGATGTCTAGCCACACTGATGAGCTGTGAAACAGCGAAACAGCCTGTCTTGGATGACATTATATATATATATATATATATATATATATATATATATATATATATATATATATATATATATATATTTTCTAATGAGAAGCAGATACTTCTTGTTAACTGAAATAGATCTATACCCCCCATATGAGGTAATTTGGGATTTTATTTAATTTATATGCTCTGTTATAATAAATACATTGAGCTCTTTTTCTGGATCAGTTTTAATATTTGATATTACTAGGATCCACTTGGATTATATACCAGTGGATTTATTACCTGTACTTTATATATGTGTATATATATATATATATATATATATATATATATATATATATATATATATATATATATATATATAAAATAATATTCATTCAGTATAGCCATAAGACTTGGTGTTGGAGATACTTTCAGTTCATTTGTGAACTAGAAAAAATGAAAAGTTACCAGTCCACTATGTCCAATTGTGGCAAAGAGCAGAACAATTGCTTCAGCTCAAAAGAGAATGCCAAATCACCAGTTCAATCCTGACATCAAGTACTACAAGCTGTAGTATTTCTGTGTATATGGTAAAGTAAGTAAATCCCAAGGCCAGTGACAAAACCAATCCACATTCAAGGTTGACTGTCCATGCTAGCTGACACTGAGATCCAGTGAAAACTGACAGGGCTTAGTCATCACAAAGTACGCTAGTGACCACAACCATGATGCATCCAAGCCACTGCACAACCTCTTGGCACAGTGGATAAAGGCATTAGTTAGATCCAGTGACAACTCAAAGAGCGTAAGTTCAATATCTGGTTAAGACGGTGGAGAACTTGGAAAGGGGAATTAACAGGAGATAACAGATAACTGACATCCATTAGACATGACAAGTGGAACTAGAACAGTCTACCCCAGCGAGTGAAATAAAATGTTCAGCTCAACATTCCAACTAGCCGAAGAAGGCCAGAGTGTACAACGACCAAAACGTTGTAATAAATATGGCAACAAAGATGAGGACAATAGTTCAAATAATGTAAATAATGTCTAGACAAGTCTGACAAAGACAGAGCAGCTGAAATGCTAAAAGGTGGGACCAAATTCAGAAACTTGTATATTTCTTTTAATAATTGATTTTAACTTGTGTTTTAGCAATTGATGGTGGAAAAGATTTTAAATTGTCTTAGCAATTGATGGTGAAAATAAACTTCTGTGTTAAATCTGTGTCGTTATTTTTAACATTACCTGCCTTCATAATAATAAAAATACTTACCAGCAAAATAACATGGGGATCTATTTTACCAAGGCTGGTAAAATTAGCTTAAAAACCAATATTTGTTTATTTTACTGAGATAGCAAAATAGCCTCTTCCTTTATGAAAAGGTAACTCATAATCTTTGAGAAAGATATTATTTTGAACAATTTTGAAAGTTGATGAAGAAAAATAAGAAATTTAATTCTTTTAATGTTATTAACAATAATTCTAGTCCTTTTTCTAATTTTTTGTAATTGTTTCAAAATTTTGTGATCTCGAAAATTTCATTCTCCTACCATTTGTTAATTCTCCATTTTTACTTCATCTTTCTCTTTTTGTCTTATACCCACTCTTTTGCTTATTAATCTTTCTCCTCTTTCATTTGCTTTCTTTTTTTCTCTCCTTTTACTTCCATTTCTTACAATTTCTCCTCCCTCTTTGCTTTCTGTATTTCTCCCTCTGCTTCTTTCCCTCCCTTTAATTTCATTTTCCCTCTTTTTTCTCACTGATTCTCTATCCTTATTCCTTTGATTTCTTTTTCTTCTTCACTCTTTTCTTCTACGCGCTTTATAGTAAAATACTTCCTATTTTTGCTCAGTCTTGCGCTGTTCCCTGGAAGCCATCTCCACTATTATGCTTGAAAAAGAACAATGATCGCCCCCACCACCCTCAGCACCAAAATCCATTATTCTTGGGATTTAGGAAGATTAGATGGAAAATAGGAGATCCCTTTCCAATGCCTATTCCTCCTAGACTCAAGCCTCAAAGGCACCTGTCCTCTCTTCTCCATTACTTTGGTCAATGCCATTCATTTCCTAAGTAACCCGCCCAACCAGCTGAGACTATCTTCCTTTAAAGAATGTTCATCTTCTTTAACCTCCTATCTCCCCATTTTCATTCATTTTCCAGCTTTTTCATTCATTTTCCAGCTTTTTCATTCATTTTCCAGCTTTTTCATGCACTTTCCAGCTTTTTCATTCACTTTCCCGCTTTTTCATTCACTTTCCCGCTTTTTCATTCACTTTCCCGCTTTTTCATTCACTTTCCCGCTTTTTCATTCATTTTCCTCCCCTATACTCTTTCTCTCCTACTATCTCTTTCCTTTTCTTTTGTATTTTCTTTCCAACTGTTTCCTAGTCTCTTTCTTCCTTGTTTCTCTTTTTGCTTCTTTCTTTATATTTTTTCTTTCCTTTCTCATTCCTTTCTTTGTTTTTTTTCTTTTCCCTTTGATTTTATTTCCCTTCATTTTTACCCCATCTACATTTACCATGAACCTTTATTCCTCTGCCTTATTCTCCCTCCTCTTCTCACCACTCTCTCCCTTTCCTCTGCCCTACTCTCTACTTTCTAGATCTTAGGTACCAAATTGTCTTTCCAGTTCAAATATTTTAAGCAGATTTTCATGATTTTCTTTCTTGAGAAACTTTTAATATTAGTTGTACTTAAAGACAAACAAAAGTAGATGAGTTGATTAATACTTGTGCCATGTGTTAATGGCATCATGCTGGTCAAAATCATTTTTGTATATTTTGATACTTCCTGTTACTGTAAATTTCTGTTGTGGATTTTAGAACTAACTGGATGTAATAAGTATATACAAAACTTATGAATTACCAAGGATCACCGTATTTTCCGGCTTACAAGGATGATGCACCCTAATATTGGAAAGAAATTTCTAAAAAAAGAAAAAAGAAGAGTAATTCTCATACAACAACACATTCACCATGCATCCCTCACATACTGGTGCTACGTATTGTTTACATTAATCACTTGTCCGATTTTGTTTGTATGGTAATGACATACTAGTCAAGAGAAGAAAGGCTTCCTCCGCTGCGAGTAAACAGAGCATGTTTAAACTTATGGCTCAGCTCCAGGAAGGTTTATAGTCTTGGATATAATACTTGTAGCAACTAAATCCTGAGGTTAGGATGAATTAGATAGGTAACATTATAGTGTAATGACTTAACATAAAAATCCATGTCCCTATTAGTCAACCCAATTAGGTGACCATCCAAGCTTAGTTGAGCCTGACCATTGCCTTATATTCATCTTGGAAGACGTACACATATTTTTCAGGGTATTTTTTATGAGAAACGTGTCTTGTAAGCTGGAAAATACAGTACTTCAATTAGTAACCAATATTACAGATTTCAGATCAATTAAAAGGTACAATTTCAAATACTGATTTCCTCACTTGAAAGATCAGTGCCACACAATCTTCCTTGTACCAAACTAATTTTAGTAAATATATTTATATTTAATTCAACTGACAAGGTCTGTTTGTTTAATTTTATATTGTATTTTTCCAATTTTATAAATTCTTTCCTCGTGCAGTCTAGCTTCGTGAAACAGTTTTACACGTCACTTACATGGTGCATGTATATTTGAATTCTATTATTCCAAAAAAGAAAATGCCCCAAAAATGTAGCCAACAAAATTTTATCTACCATACTGACAACACCCACTTCTTGATAATGACTGTGACAGTTGAAATTAATGAAACAAAACTTGAGCAATCTTGATAGTACAAGTGGGTACAGAAAAGTTCTCAGTTTGTTCAAGAAGCTGTTCCTTACAAAAAAAATCTAATGTTTACTCATTTGGTCAGCTTTTGAGAAGTGAGTCAAGCCAAGAACTTTTCATCACCCCCCTCTTGTACATATAGATGAAGATTCTTCATTGACCTATCAAATAAAAAAATAAATCAGAACTTCTTTTTCATCTAATATTTGCTTTTCTCTGAAGGGATTCTCTATTGTATTAATAAAACCAATTTCTGTCACATGTCATTTATCACAAGTGCTTGTTACAGCCTTATCATTTTCACTTAGCAGCAGCACTTCTTCATCCAACATAGAAAAATCAATAAATACAATTATGTTTCATTAAATGTGATACTCTTTCTATAACAACCCTCTTCTCATATCTACAGACAGCTTCCTGAAAATTATGGTTAAAATGTTAAAATAATTTGCTAAATGACAGACAATTATCAGGATTAAATATTTGAGTAAATTTAGAATGTGATTCCTTTCAAATTGTTTCTTAAAAAGTTCTTTCAATGTGATAGTTCACAAAGATGATGGCAAGGTATCACTTTTTCTTTGGTAAACATTGAATGATTTATATAGTTACAGAAGTCTTAAAGAAATTATTTGCTTCAGTTTTTATTGTAAAAAAAAATCTCATGCCATAATTATTACAAACTGTTAGTTTTTGTGCTTGGAAATTCTGTATGACAATGTTTTAGAATATTAATTTGATTAATTAATTCAATTAAATGTGCTGATAATTAAAAGAGAGAACACATTTGGTTGGACAAAGAACTTTACTGCCCACAAAACAACATTCAAAAAAGACAAAATCTAAGCACAACATTTGTTAATGAGAATATCACTCCGTGTAATATGTGATTAATTGAAACTTAATCAGGATGCTGAGTACAACTGCTGCAGCAAAATCTTTCAATATAACAATGAGTTTAAGAATAAAGAAAAGTGATCCTGAGAAATATTCCTATAAATTAATGTCTGAATAAACAAATAAGAAGGTAAATATTGTGAAAGATTTAATTGCTGTTACTGTTTGTAGTATTATTGTTTCATTTCTGCAAAAGAAAAATTTTAATTGCTTTTTGTTTTCACCTTTCAGCAACATGAATGATTTTATTTTATAAGTGAATATCTGATTAAAATTTGAAACTGCTTTATATTTTTCTAAATGATCTTCCTCCTGTACAAGGCTCAAAAACCATTTGAGGTAGAGGGTTACCATGTAAGAGGCAAATTTATGGAGATACATGCAAATGATAACGGTTAGCCCTAGATTGAATAGTTTGATATTGGAGTGATTATGGAATCAAAGAAGTGGCTTTTGTGAAGGACCTGTTTGAGGGGTAACTTACATCTCACCAGTGGAATACAATGGGAATGAGGGTAGTTCATTACAATGTGTGTGGCATGGAAAGTCTTAGAACTGGTGGAATTAAGGAATGTAGTTCATCTGAACACTTTGCATGCAAATAGTGATAGAGCAGGGAGAGGCTTGTGACATTTCGTCTGTTGGAAAGGGGTTGTTGGTTGGAAAATAATTCATCATCCACAAGGATGTGGAGACAAGTTTGGACTGTATCAGAACTGGAAAGTGAAGACTTGGAAAATCCTGCCCATATATGGCAACAGTACTCCATTTTTTGTCATAATCTGGCTCATATAAAAGTAGAGGATAGCAAGAGTTAGATACTTACTGGAGCAGTACAGGTAACCTATAATTTTGCTAGTATTTTTAGTGACTGATCATATGTATGAGTTACACTTGTGTTCTGGATTTAGTTAGTCCCAATAGATGGTCAAGGCATTGTATCTCCCTGAGAAAACATCCATTCATCACGATAGGAAAAAAGGGGTAACAATTTAAATTGCACCACAAAACTCATTATCAAGCATATAAGTTACAATTCTATAAACTATGATCAGCTTGTAGTATGTTTTTCCAGAGTTGTAATGTAGGAATTTGGTGTGCAAAACAGATACCTCTCTTTATGACCATGAAATACAATAGCCACTCATAGCATGCCTTCAGACTCTCTCCAGAAAACACTATTTCTCAATCAAACACCAAAGTTAAGCAGTGGATTTAAATCTCAAACAGTGCATAATTTATGCTTTTTCTAGAATATAACGTTGCACTTCAAGATACATTGGGCCATCCTGGTTATGATGATAAACTACATTCTGGCAGCAAGGCCTTTGTTCAGAAGGTTTTGAGGAGCATGGAACCACCTCTTGATTGCTGAAGTTTCCAGGTCCACCCAAACCTGGGATGGTAGCACCTGTTAGGGTCCCAGCTATGGACAAATAGTTAACCTCCCCCAAAAGGGGTCAAAACAATATGAAAGTATAAAAATAGGTTTAATACCAGCAATTCTTTTTGAAAAAAATATCACCAACAATATATTTCTTGAAAAAAAAAAATATTACTAGCATTAAAAATCTTGTTAGCATTAAATAACCCATCGAGGCTGATATGCCATAAAACAAAACAAAAACCAAATCAATACATTGGGATGACCCCTTGTAGTTTGTAAATCTTCTTGAAAAAAAAAATCAATGGAATTTTGATATTTGATTGCTTACTTGCTATTAACTTTTTGTTCGGCATCAAATATAGTTTGGGCGTGGGTGGGTTCATGGCTTAAGGGATGACACTGATCCTGAATGGTCATGACTAGCTTCAATTTCTAAAACATGTCAGAGGACATACAGTACAAAATCACTCCATTAAGAAAATAAGGAAAGTGATTCCAAACTCTGACTGTTTGATATTTTGCCGTATGAAATATGAAGGTTTCAAGATATAATTCTGTTTCTCCTTGAATGCTGCTGGCTAATGTCAGAAAGAAAGAAAGATCAGCTGATGTGCTAATGTTGAATTCCTCCTTTCAGTATTTCAGCCTTATGCATCTTGTCGACCCCGGTGCTCTGCCGCCAGACAAGGCTCAGCCTGGATATTTGGTATGTCTCCTCCATTCACCCATATCACCATCTGACTCCCAGGCATGCACAGAGGGTCACTTCAAAGTGGGCACTCTCTCTGGCTTCATTTAATTGTCTGGTTGTTCTCTCATTATTAACAGTTTTTTTTTTTATTATTATTATTCTTTTCCGCTCTCTCTCTCCTCGCAAATTTTTTCTATTTTTTCCTTCAATCAAGCTAAAAATGAGTCACATTGCACGGCAGTTGTACACCTGTGGCCCATTGCACACAGTGAGGACCAAATTCATCATAGGTTTGTTTTTTTTACAACTTCATTAACCTTAACACTGCCAAGCGGTCCTTTTTTGTTTTTAATATAATTTGGGAAATTTTAATTATTTCTTTTTTCTCTGTTTTATTATGTGTCTTCACTCCCCCTCTCTTTTCTTATTGTTTCTTTATTATCTCTTCACTCCCCCCTCACCTCTTATTGTTTGTTTCTTCTCTTCTTTTTCAATATATTTCTCCTTCAATCTCTTTTTCTCTCAATCATTTGTTATACAAAAATTTTTTTGTTTATACCCAAGATCATTTTAGGATGTGGCAGAAAGATATAATTTTATATATCTAATAGATATATATACTCTCTCTCTCTCTCTCTCTATATATATATATATATATATATATATATATATATATATATATATATATATATATAATGTTCTTGTATCTTTCATTTAATCAATTTTTTTTTTTTTTTTACTTAACTTTTCTATAATATTTCAGTTTGGGGAAAATTCTGAAAAAAAAATTGCCTCTTTTGGTATTAATTCCCTTTGAATCGTCATATTGACAACTGATTCATAATAGACACAC